TAGTGAATGGATTACAAACTGGTGAACTCCTCTTTATTCTAACATGTGTGGGATCATGAATACAGCCAGCCCACTTTTGGGGGGCTTCCAATACAGGTTGCTAGAGCAATCTTCCTAAAACATCACTGCTGTTTTTCTTTCAACCAATAAAATTACATTTTCCCCAATTCTCAAAATGGGGACTGCCAGTGAAATGAAGAGCTCCTCCGGACTTGGCCTCCCACGGCGCCACATGCAGAGGCACGTCCTGGAGGGCGGGCCCCTCTGCAGGGCTCAGAGTCGACAAAGCCTCCACACTGTAGAAGAACTGATATACAAATGCAAGGTAAGTAAGGGGATGGCAAGACAGCACCTGCATCATCTGGTCCTGATGGTCACAAATGGGAAGCAGGTCAAGCAGGTGAGGGATGGCTGGAGAACACGCCGGACAAAGAGGCCGGCGACTGCAAAGGGTGGCAATGCTTGGCTGGGTCAGGGGGCGGTGGCAGAAAATGTGGTGAAAGCTTGTTCTCTCAGCCTCCAATGACTGGGATGCGTTTTTACTGCTCCCAGTCATTCCTGAGCTAGACAGAGCCTACCCAGTCCGACATGCAGCTGTTTTTCCAGAGGAATACACGGTGCTCAGCATTCCTATGATTCACTGTGCAGAATGTTCAGAGATATACTCATTTTCCCTTTGTTGTTGCTTTAGTCCAATGATTTTATTAAGCATAGGGAATTGGGCAGACATCCCTTGCACTGATGAGCAAATTGTCTGTAATTTATAGCATTAAAAAACTTGCCAGAGGCACCAAGAAATCAAGAGCCCTGTTCATGGCTACAGGACTCATACATAAAGTTTCTCATGCTGAGGCGGGCCGGCCTACTGCCTACTACACCACACCACCCCTCTTATTAATTACCGTCAGCCCCCAGAGACCAGAAATCACATCGTATACTCCTCTGTATCTTCCCCAAAGGGCCTGACATACTGCCATGTCCATAGTGAATGTCCAACAAACACTTGTTCAATATGTAAAAAAATCAAATTAAGTAGGAAAACTGTGATTACACCAGGAAAGGGGGGAGGAGGACACTGGTCAAGGAAGAGCAAGCAGAAACAAATTGAATTTAGCACATTGGATCCTTGTAATACTAAAACCTGACCAAACCAAAAGTTACTAGAGCCTCAGGTCTTAGAAGGACCACAATCTAAAAACATCAACTCTCTCTAGAACCAAAGAATGTTGGGCTGAACATTCAGCTTAGGTTATCGTGCTACATTTCTTCCTGTAAGCAAACTCTGATTTTACACGGATTCAAAACCTATGTGTGACTTTGTATTCCCTGATTTTCTGTCTTAGGCAAAAATGTTGCTCCATCTATAATGTGTCAGATTCCTCTCTAGTCTCTTACAAGATGCTTTGCAGTTATCTTATTTCACGACCATTCGGCTTAGTAGAAACAAGAGACAATATGCTGGAAATAAAACCCCCAAATATGGAGTCAGGGTTGGAATGGCAGGGTGGGAAAGGAGGGGGGAGAACCCCAGCCCTGGGTTCACATTCTGCCTCTGACCTATTTTGATGCACGACCCTGTGCAAGTCCCTCAACCTCTAGTCCAAGACTAGAAGAAGCAGGGCAGTTGTTAGCATCACAGGCAAACATGACCTCTGAATTCCTGACTTGACTTTCCTATTCACTCACTAAGGAACTTTTTATATGCAGTATATCCCAACAAATGTAATTGTGAAGCATTAGGATGGAGTAAAGGATTGCTGTGCTCTGTTCATCATAATGATGGTCCCCAATTAATAATGATGATGATGACCTGATATAGCGTTTACTGTTTGTAAAGCACTAAGTACTTTACAAATATTACCTCATTTGAGCCTCATATCAACCCTAAGAAGTAAATGATGTTATTATCCTCACTTTACAGATGACGAAAATGAGACAGAGCTTAAGTGACTTGCCCAGGGTCACACCCCTAGGAAGTGTTTGAGGCTGGATTTGAACACAGGTCTTCTTGATTCCTGGCCCAGAGCTCTATCCGCTGTGCTACCTAGCTACCCCATTAGGAAATGTCATTCTAGACAACAAATGGGATTTATACTGTAGGGATCTCACTATTAAAAAATTAGTTGCTGCTAGCCTATTTCTCAGTACTATTTCAAGGTACTGGAGACAGATGAAATGAGCCTCCAACATAGGGAGGAGGAGGGGCATCCCACACATAGACTGGGCTTGGCTCCTGGTACGCTGGCATTCCATGGGGACAGGATGGTAAAGGGCTGCTATTTTATCCAGTAGCATAGGAGGTGGTGATCAAGAGGCCTCCAAACCGGTCCCTGAGAGGGGGCCCTTCCAGACTCAGGGCGTGTCTGAGGGAACTTGTAGATAACAGACTCGGGGGCAGGTACAGCGTGTAAACAAAGGCCCCCCAATGGAACCAGCACAGACTCTGCAGACAGAGTATGCGGGTTCTCACTGCCTCTGAAGCTACTTGGATGGACGGCCACGGGCACGCCACTTCATCTCCTCCCCGTGCTTCACTTTCCCCATCTGAAAAATGCCTTAGAGACCTCTTTCTAGCTTAATATCCACCTCCACCAGGATCCCGACACTTGGGATAATGTGGAGCTAAGGCCCCGATGGACTCGGGAAGTGGGGCAGCTATTCCTTCCATTGGAGGTAGCAGGCTCCTGAGTGGGGATGACAGGAGGAACAGGCAGGATGATAGGGGACGCCCCCAATCGGAGAGTTTGCTGCTGAACAAGTCTGGGGATCGTCTGCCTTCTCTGCAGTCAACGCTGTTCTTTTACAGATTTCCCAGGATGACAGCTTCTTTAAAGAAGCCAGGCTGGAGCTGCCCTGATCTTCTCCAGGGGCGAAGATTGTGGCCTCTGACGTGACCGCAAAAACAGGAGCTTGGGACACTTCTTGTCAAGAAAGTCCATTTCACTTCCTTCTAGTTCATTCAGTGTGTGTCACATCCAGCACCTTTCGAGCTTCTTCAAGTAACGAGCTTTTGGATCCTGGCCTGATCTACGCGGGCACTAAAGATAATGCAGAGTGAAGGAGCCCAGGAAATCCTAGCCCAGTCGTCACTGGATGTTGCCTTAGTTTGGAGAACTTGACTGGTTTTGTCATGGGATTTTCTCCACTACATTTCTGCCCCATCTTCGTGGTGGTTATTTGCTAAGGCACCTCAATACTACAAGCTGAGCTAATGAAGTGACCCATGAAATTCTTTATTGTCACTGGGGTACAATAAAACCAACCCTCCTAACAGACACTGAGAAAAGAGAGCCTGGGAGCTGTCTGTCCAGTTAACCACCATCTCTTTATGTTTCCCAGCTTCATTTACAAGGAGAATGTCAATATGGAGGAGCTTTCATTTCTCCAGTAGTATTCCAGTAGTATTTATTAGACAAAAATGGGATGTCATACTAGTAATAAGTAAATCAATGTTCACAAACCATTTAAGAACTGCTAGTAAAGCATTTCTTAAAATTTAATTTAATTTTTTAAAAATTTCCCTGAAACCCAATAGCCAGACACATTCTGAGGATTGGGTTTCGTGGCCTGGCTGCGGGATGTGGGAAAGAAGGCTTTGCTAACTAATTCTAAGTCAGATGTTCCGTTTTTTCAGGAAGCAGTGCTCTGAGGAGCAGGCCTAAATTCAAACAATGGAAAACCTGTATGGACGAATGCAGAATAAAGCAGAACCAAGAAAACAATACAAAGAGCAATAATGATGTAAACTTAAAAACTAAAACGAAGCCAAAGGCCAGGTCGTTCTAAGGACCTATTTCAGTCCTGGAGATGAAGAGATTCCCTGTCCTGGAGCGTCTGTGCTCATAGACTGCTCCTGTCAAACATGGGTACTACACTGGGTTTGTTCTGCTCACCTGTGACAAAGAAGGCTTCCCTCACCCCCCCGGCTCGGGGTGAGGAGCAGAAAAATCTAGAAATGACTGAGCCAAATGAATACAAAAGTCAAAAACTAAAATGGAAAGAAAGACATGGCGTTTTTCTGCCATGGGGTGACAAACTTCACAGAATACTGCCCCCTCCCCAAAGGAAATAGAATATACTTCTCAAAAGCCAAAGTTTTGCTCAGGCAGGTGAGGGATGTTTGTGACACTGTTTCCAAACATGATTAGAAACTCGACTGAAGTTCATAGTAAGACTGTGGATTTAGAGCGCAAGTTTTCTTTTATAGCTAACTAGCCAAAGACCCATCTGTGTTGTAAAAGACAATCTCAAAGGGTGAATCAGCTCTCATTAATCATTCAGTTCAGTTACCACATTATGAAAACGATCTCTTGGAAAAAACTCTTCTTCACACTATACTGTAGCAAGATTCTGTAGGATGAGCCAAGGCTCAAGATACGTCACCAAGGTGGAGCTTTTCAAAGCACCAGAGTCTGCTTCAGTTTTGAAAATCATCATTGTGTAAAACGAATCACCCCCGCCCCCCAAATAGCTGCAGCCAAAATGTACAGAATGTTTTCAAGATTACAAAGTGCTTTCTGTGAAGTAGTGCTATAGAGAGTTTCTCTATTTGACAGGTAAAGAAACTGAGGTTCTGAGAAATCCCATGCCTTACCTGTGACCACATGGCTAAAAGTATGTGTGTGGGGGTGGGGGGGAACGAGCCATTACTTGAACTAAGGTTAGCATTATCACACTACTTCATTTAAATAAGTAGAGAAAATTATGCACAATTTGAAAGATCTTCATGATTTTTATACTACATATTCTTTTCAAGGAATAAGAGAAATTTAATAGGACAGACTTCAAGATTCAAAGCCCAACTCCTTTGAAAACAAATTTAATAGTTTTTAAAAAAAAAAAAACACTTACTAATTAAGAGGGTTTCTATATGATTGCCTGAACTTTTTCCTTAATTCAAGAGGTGTAATGAATCGCCTGTGAGAAGCTCACTTTAAAGGACCTCAGTAAAAAGCACACATGACTTAGTTCTTAGCTGCCAAAGGCAGGTGGTCACTCACCTATGTAGACCCTCTTGCTGTATCTCTGCATCAGCAATAACACAAAGACATGCAGTGGAATAAGATTTATAATAAACACATAGCCGCCCCATGCAGAGACCTGGGAAGAAAAACAGGTTAAAATGAGATGATTGCATAGTTCATCAAAACACTGGAAAATTCTTGGTCAATTCCCTGATGCTCTAACCAAGTAATAGATTATTATGAAATACTTGAAATTTGAATATTTCGCTGGGAAAAAGGTTAAACAGTTTTTAATAATCTATAAGTTTTGTTGAAGGCTTATATAGTCACCCGGTACACAAACCCAAGGTATTTTTCTTTAGTCATTAGAGAACTCAGATTATGATTCACAGGTAATTTGCTTACAAGTACATACTCGAAGGGATAAAAAGAACTGGGAAACAAACAAAAAAAAAAGATGGCAATTATTTTCACTTAAGATGAAAGCATGTGAGTTGCATTAAAAAAAAACAACTCACAAAAAACTTGATTTGTCTTTCATTTCATGGCAAATTATTGTCAAGAACACAACAGTGTTTCCAAATGCTGTGATGTGTCAACCGCTTGGTCACAAGAGGATTGTGAGAGCTGCAAACTGAGCCAAGACCAGCATAATTGACTGTTATTCTAGGAGGTGTTTCTCCACCGCCCAGAAAAACAACTGAAGGCAAGAGCCTAGTCTGAGACTGGTCTTCTACACTATTTCCAACCTGACTGCTGGGGAGACAGACCAGTGTAATGGAAGCCCATGTGCACTTTCAAATAAACAATTTTACTACATTCTTATAGGTACAAGAAAAGGAGCAACTTGTAGCCAAGTAGGGGTCCATCCCTTTAATGAAGAGATAAGAATAACTTGTAACCATCTGAATGACAACCAAGTGGAATTATTTTAAGTAGGCCAAGCACTCCCCTCAAAATCTTAATTTCACAAATTATGTAGTTAACAAATTCTTTGTTTACAGACAGAATGGTCAACTTTAATCAAGCGGTCACACTCCCAATACTCTAAATGTATAGTTACAAGTTTAATACACATACCACAGGATGTAAGTACCTCATTATTAGCAAACTGATAATGCATCAAACTTTTTAAAAGTCACAATTAAAATCCCTAAAAACCAAGACAAGGTAGAACTATAGAAAACACGAGTCTGATTTGATCAGCAGGCAAGCATCTTTGTGTCCTGGAAGCTTTTGGTCTTCAGAACGATCACCTTGATACCGGACAACCCACAAGGATTTGTCCTTTCCTCCTCACTCAGCCACCACTAGAGTTAGAACACTCCCTGCCTTCGGCATGGACAACTGTAATCGCTTCCTAACTGGCTTCCCAGGCTGCCTGTCCCTCCCTCTCCAAACCATCCTCCTCAGAGCTGCCCAGTGGAGATTCTGTCTAGCTCTCCTGCTCGAGGCTCTACTGGTCCTTCTTGCCTCTAGGACAAAATACGAAGGTCCCCTCTTTGTCTTTACAGCCCTTCACAATTGAGCTCTACCTCTCCAGGGGTCACACTTCTGCATGCTCTAGCCAAAGGGCCCACATGCTGGCCCCATGAATGGCCTGTGCACGAGGTAACATCTCCTCCTCCCCTCCCCCAAGTCAGATCAAGAGGATCCTTAAAGACTTTAGCTCAAATGCCACCAGCCATGTGGGACCTAGCCTGCTGCTCCTGGTCACTACTGTCCTCTCCCCTTACTCTGTATGGACTTCGTACGGATTTTTTCTTGTATACATAACGCACTCTCAAGCTAGACACGAGCACCTTGAGGACAGGGGCTATTGTTACTTCTGTCTAGCGATGAATACTTACTGATTTTGCTGAGGGTTGAGCTTAGCAAGCATGCCATAAATGAATGAATAAATATATATAAATAAATAAGGGAGTAAATAAATGAATGAATAAATAAATATTTGAATATTTAAATAAATGTTAGAACAGCACAGGGCCAAGAATAGAACCTGAAAACAAATCTTGTAACTTCTCTTTGTTTTCTCTTCCGTAAAATAAGTGGGCTGGACCAGAGGCTCTCTAAAGTCCCTTCTACACCTCGGCAGTTCACTTTACTTGTTGCCCCTAATTTCTGCCGTTCTATATAGCTACCTGGCTAGTATCTAGAGTGGTAGGTATTTCTGGCATTTTTCTATCCCCTTCCCCTTACATTTTAAAAGTCTTTTTTGGTCAGATTTTCAAGACTCCAGGTAAGTATGACATAATATGATACAATAAGAACTTTACTAGCTCTAATTACATGAACTTCATTTCTGTTTCTAATAAGTTACGGTTCAATAATCCAAATAAGACAAAAAGATATCTTCAAAACAAGTAATTCATTTCCCCAAACTGCCTTTGTCTTCTGAAATCCTTGCTTTTGGATGGCAGCTATGATTAAAAAACAAAACCAAAAATACACTGTCTCTGCTCCATCTTCTGTTTATTTTCTAAGACCTGATAACTCTTAGGAGAGCTAGCTCCATTCTTCTGGAGGTATCATTTGCCAGGATGTTACACAGCCAAAGGGAAGCAGCACCTGCTGGGTTGGACATGCCTTGGGAAGGCCTCCATCACTTCTAGCCTCATGCTCCGCTAAGATCAAAGACACCCCTCTTTTCCACTTCCGGTTGACAGCTAACAGGGTGTTGTCATGCACTGCTCCCACCTCCTTCCTCTGACCAGTGCCTGAGAGCACTGGGGGAGCCTCACTGATGATCGCCCCAAGAACACAAGCAGCAGCAGCATTCTCCTAACAAGGACCCAGGGTCCCCTCTCATAGCTACTCTGGGCGCCAGAGTTCCGGGATCTTCCTGTCCTTTCCCACCTCTGCCACATTCTTAATCTCCTGCTACAGCTTAGAATTCCCTTAGGCCTCTTCAGACTCTTGGCACCCTAATTTAACCACTGAAAATAAGGGACTCCTTGACAACCTGAGGAGTGCTGGGACATGGGCCTTCATCCCCTTTCACATCTCTTCTAGGAGTTTACATTTCTGCTGTTATGGTCAATTACCTGTTACTTTATATTCAAAAATTCCCCATCTCTGCAGTGAGTTCCCAACAAAGCAATCCCTGCACTTTGTCATACTGGCTAGAAAGAGGGCTGCCTCAAGTCTTCTTGCCAGAGGTCCTTGGGGCAAAGGTCCCACTCGTTCACCATCAACACTTGGTATTTGCTTTCTTTATGTGTTTGTGGATACATGGAAACCTTTCTTTCTTGGTGCCCCTATGCTGAGCACTGCATTGCCCATAGCCCATAGGCCATAATCAATGCTCAATGATTAAGGAACACCAAGTACTCAGTCGCCTAAATATGCTGAGAACAAAAACTTTCTCCTTACAGCCTATTTGGGAGAAAATTTCACGTGAATTAAAAGAGCAGATCTAAGAATAAAAAAAAAATTCCCCCTTAATTCTTTCCAAAAAAGTCCAAGTCACCAGCAAAATGTCACAAATTCTCCATTTAAGAAGAATATGCCTGTTTCATTTGCTAAAGAGATTAGACTCCATATTTAAATTCAAATAATGTCTTACCATATAGAAGTAGGATAAGCAGCAGCATATTGTCCAAGAAACTGATCCGGTTTTTACAGATTTCACCTAAAACAAACAAATAACAGTTAATTCAAACTAGAAGACAAGGAGAGAGGAAGAAATTGATAACATTTATGAAGGGCCTACTAAAACGCAAGGCACTGAAGACAAAAATGCAGAAAATGAAACAATTTCTACATTCAGGCAAAGCAGGGAATAGAAAAAGTGGGAAAAAGTGCCAACCTTTCACTGTAGAAAAGACATGGGTTACCTAACACAGTAATGCCACTAATGCCCTGTGAACACCACAGAGGTCACGCACTGGAAGGTGTGGACCAATGCAGCAGGCTCATCCAATTTTCAAAAAAACACAGAGCAATTTTCTTCAAGACACTTTGACATATTGATTTTGATATTTCAAAAAAGCCTTTTTTCCCCTTTTAGGATTTCATTTTAACAGTTACTGTTATAAATCGTTTTGAGAATTATAAATGAATGTCAGATGAAGTACAAACCTGGAAAGTCAATCAAGAAACTTGATTTTCCTCTTTCCACCCCTCAAATATACCACATACCACATCACACATCATGCATATTAATAAATGTCTGTCCAATGAATATCGAACAACAAGCATTTACTACGTACATACTAAGAAGTAGGCAATGTGCTGGGACAAAGCAATCCCTACTTTCAGGGACCTTTTCTATTGTCGCTGCTTGTTGTCATTCAGTTGTTTGACGCTGTGACCCCATCTGGGGTTTTCTTGGCAAAGATACTGGAGTGGTTTGCCGTTTCCTTCTCCAGCTCATTTTGCAGAGGAGGAAATCAAGGCAAACAGGGTGAAGTGACTTGCCCAGCTGTAAATGTCTGAGGCCAGATTTGAATTCAGGTCCCCCTGACTCCAGACCTCACGTTCTATTCGGTGGGCTGCCTTGTTACCCCTCAAGGACCCCGTATTACAACATTTTACACAGACACAGTCTGGAGAGCCAATGCCATTCTTCAGTCACACAAAAGATTATTTCCTATGTTTCAGGATCAACTCTGTTACAGAAGTGACTATACCACCAGAAGACAATGAACTTTTTAGAGAAAGTAGAACCTGTGCCTATACAGTTGACAATTCTGAGTGTGGTAATGCTTCTACATTGATGCCAGCTATAAGCAATAACAGTTTTTTCACACTCATGATGGAATTTCCGTTAAAATTTTTTTCTCATCAAAACACCTCTCTCCCTCCAATCCAAGTAATTACATAAAAGTGAACTGCGCTGCCCTGGGAAACAGTGTGTTCCCTTCTCACTAGAGGTCTTCTCCAAAAGGCCAAGTGACCACTTGGGATGCTGAAGAGGATCGTCAATCAGACGGACCTCCATGGTATGTGACTATGGTATACTAGGAGGCGCCAGAGTGTCATGCCTGGAGTCCAGGAGACCTGTGTGCAAATCTAGCCTCAAATGCTCACTAATTGTGTGACCCTGGACAAGTCACTCAACCTCTGTCTGCCTCCATTTCCTCATCTGTAAAATGGAGATAATAATAGCACTTACCTCCCAGGGTTGTTGTGAGGATCAAATGAGATATCTATTACTTAGCACAAGGCCCGGCACATAGGCGCCACATAAATGCTTATTTCCTCCTCCCCTAAGGTCCATTCACTCAACTTCTCCGACTGTTTCCTCTTCTATAAAATGAGGGAGTTGGACTAGATGGCCCCCAATGTCCCTTCCAGCTCACCATCTATAATCCTGTGGCCTCCTTTTCTTCCCTTATTGTATCCTAAGAATTTATTTCTATTTGAATTGGAGCCACCAAGCATCTCTTGTCTTGCACCAAAGGTCCCAGCTCTTCAAGCTCTGCAACAGTCACTGATGATAAAGGCTGCCATTAATTTTTCAGGCTGGTACTGGTGCAAACACACGTGAGAACGCTCCTGAGACAGCCAGCTGCCCGTCACTGCTCTCCCCCGAGTGTGAGCGACCAGGCCGCACTTCGCGCAGGCACACGACTTCTGAAAAATTCTACTTTAACTACTGTCCTGATCGTGCTTACTTTACTCCCACCACCAAACCATGCAAGTCTTTCCCCATGTTCAGAATTTATTACAGAATTCAATTTCTAGGAATGGGCTCACTACAACAGCATTTTACATCAATCTAACTTAGAGGATTTTACCTGTATGGAGTCTATAAATAAAACTTCAGCTAACAGGAAACTATAATGAATAATTACTTTAATAAAATTGCTTGAAGCACAACTTAAATGATGGGAAGCAGAATGAAAAATCTTGCTCCAATATGTGACAAAGACCATTATGACTAGGCATTGAAATACCATTTACAAACAGTACAACTTTAGCAAATGGTGGGGATTGACCCACTGAAATTCAAATCAGAAAGAGAAAGCCAAAAGTTCCTGGGAAGTCTAAGAACAAGGGCTGTCACGCATCCCACTGACCTATAATCAGACAGTTTCTGCGGCTCTAAAGGGAGCTGTGAGAGATAACGCAGGCAGCAGGGACGAAGAGGAAACGTTTCAAGATGAAATGCCAGAAGTGACTAGGACCAGGAGAAGAAAAGGCTGCCCAAGCTGCCATCTGCCCAGAGGCCTTCTCCAGTCATTCCCAATCCTCTCCTAATCTAGTACTAATTTCCATTTTCATGTTCCACAGGGTCAGTTTCGGGGGGAAGGGAGGTTTGGAGGAAGGCTTCACCTGTTCAGTTGTGCTTAGTTTGGGGCACACTGGGAACCCCAGAATATCAGGATTTTATTACAAATGAGATTTGGATGCAATTAAGGTTAAAAGTGGCTCCTTTAGCAAAGTTCTGGTAAAGGTAAAATACACAAAATGCTACAAATCAAGAGCATTATAAAATAAAATAGACCACAAGCCTGCCAAGTATTCACTATATCCAATTCAACCTCAGGAACACAACAAAAATTTTGTATAACTGGTTATCACTCCAAAAAATATGCAATAATGTAGCTTTAGCCATATTTTGTAGTCTAGGAAAAATATATGTAAGACAGTAAATATTTTTACTATTTCTTTGAAATCCAGTCTAAATTCATAGTTTTAGCCAGAACTGAGAGAAATCAATGGAAAGTAGTGGAAAACTTCTGCGTAATGAACATTGATACAGTAAAGAGGAAAAGCTAGAGCAATGAATCTGAAAAATGAAGCAATCTAAAAATTATTGAATTAAAAAGGGTTAGAAAAATGACACGTTAAGAAGTGTTCCTCTGAGTTTAAAATATAACATTATTACTGAGAGTTTAGCGCCCATGAATTTTCTCAGGAAGCTTCAATTCAAATTTAATTGGAGTTTTGAGAAAAGAGTGATACAATTTTCTAATTTCTAACAGACACATGAAGTACTAAAATGAAAGTTGGAATTACAGGCAGTTATATCACTTTAAACTCATTTTATTCCTTTTGCATTCATCATCCATTCTGACTTAGTGATCTTTACTACTACATATTATATATTTAAATTGCTAGACTTTGTCAATTAATGGAGTTGCAAAAATTCCACTTGTTTCATGTGTCTGGAGTATTATAATTTGGAGAAAGGTAAACTAATAAGGAAAGACCCAGCTACCTTCCACTAGGCCATTTCAAGCCAACTAGGACATTCCCTGTGCCATTATATCCTATAACTTCTAGTCTATTTGGAAAAGTCTTATCTAACAGCATTTCAAAGAGATGTTTTCATCAGAAAAACTCATCTTAATACCCTGTCATTAATATGTGAAAAACAGAAATATCTTAAATCCTTACTCCTAAAAAAAGTTCATCTTCCCTAGAAATCTAACAAACCTAACATTTGCATACTGGGCTGTATGTAAATGCTAACAGCAGTATAAATGACCAAAACAGAAAAGGATTAAAGAGGAATTTAGTTTATTTTTATCTATTCCAGTTTAAATATAAGCTATATTTATTCATGCATGCTGCCCTTCCTTTCCCCTCCCTGTAAATACAACCTTTATTTGGGGCACCCTCCTGCCAGAAGTGGTTGCTCTAAGTAGAATTTAATTTGTCCTTGCAATGCAGACAAGGCATTTAAATGATAAAATATTATTAGATGCCATTCAGAAATGTGAATAATAAGATAATAATAATAAGAAGAAGAAAAAATACTGGAAATATAAACATTGGCAAAGAGACAAAATGACTTTTACTTGAATATAACATGATGGTGTGCTTAGAAAACCCCAGCAAATCAGCAAAGAAACTGCATAAAATGATCAATAATAAAATAGCTTGATGTGCAATAAATTTGAAGAACATGTATATACAATACTAGCAAAAACCACCATTAATTAAAAGGAAAGAATTATGTGGCTGTTAGCCTACCATGAATGAATGCATTATTTGTTTGAATACATTCTATACAAAAATAAAGCAAGAATTAGCCACTACTTGTGACTGGGCCATGCCAACATAAAAAGTACTAACTAAATTTTCAGATCTAGTGTTATGCCAATGAGATTACCAAGGGCATATCTCATTAAATTACGTTTTTAAAGAAAAAAAAAAGTCTATGGTCTCAAGGGAAGCAATGAGAAAAATACTAAATACAGCTTCTCTTTGTGACAGCCATGTCAGGTCTGGCCACTGCCTTGAGTTGGTTTCACCACCATTAATACAGGATACTGTGCCATATGCATATGTTTCAATGCTCTCTTGTTGTGTTTTCAATTCTGTGGTTCTGAAGAATGGATATTACTCCTAGGAAACATGCAGAAGTTACGGCTCTTAAAAAGTCCATTTCAGTGACTGTGAAAGACTGCAGTGGCTGTCAGTGAGGGGCAGTCAAGTGTTTTCGGGATCATTCAAAAATCCATGATGAAAGAGGATGAACCATATCAAAGTCTGGGGTTAAATAGGATGGAAAACAGTGAACAAGAACAAGAACAGACAGACTCCTTCAGGAAAGCTGTCTAATGAAGTACTTAGAAAACAAGAAGAATGGGGTAGCTGGGTGGTGCACTGGACAGAGCACCAGCTCTGGAGTCAGGAGGACCTGAGTTCAAATCCAGCCTCAGACATTTGACACTT